ACACCAAAATAAATCGGAATATCTTGTCTATTAGCATGGATATAATATTAGTGAATCTACATGAGAGCCAATAAAGAATCTTACAAATGCAAAAAAGGCGGTAGAGGCTTTTCATTGACGACATCCATAAAAATCAAAATAAAAACCTTCGTTATAATAGAAACAAGATCTAAGCAAGATAACATTTTATTTTCAATCTTTATTTGTAGCTTTTGTGTGGTTGTGATGCTAAGGAGATGAAGAACCAACAATCAACAGATTTGAATCAATAGCTTTTGTTTGCTGACTTGCCAGACGTGACATTATAATTATGACAACCTTCAAGACGATGCAATTGAAATGAAGATCCTCAAGAACGATATGTTCTTCCTTGAATAGATGGCAAGATATAATGCGTTTGGTATCACGACCTTAGAAGAGACTCCCGTTGTTTGGTGATTTTACTAGAGGTATAAACAATTCCTAATAGTATTCCAAATATTTTATTTGAAGGAAGTTATGAAGGCCTTAACAACAATCAAATAACTGGGTGGTCTTCTCGCTCTGGTATGAGACACTATCGATAGTTGACAGGCTCTATCAATCATCTTCAAAGAGAATAAAGATCAAAGTATGTGGCAAATATAATTTGTCACATTTTAGACTTCTTCGACATGTGATCATCACTCCTCATGGAACTCATCTTTAGAAGAGGGGATAACGTCATAGACATAAATTTATTGTAATTATTATCTAGATGATATGAATAGGTAGAAGTACGTAAAAGTAGATTAATTTCATAATATCTTTTAGAAAAGCTTCTTAGAAGCTTTATAGATGTTGCTTTGACTTTAAATGTGTTTATACTTGATTAGTAGGTTAGAAACTTGGTCAACAAGTTAACCATGTGCCATACATATTGGTAGCTTATGGAACAAGCTAACTGTGTAGCGCCCTCATAGAAAACTTGCCTTGTAAGTTAAGATACATGTTGTACAAAGTCAACACATTTTTGGAGGTCCTATAGAATGCTTCCACATAGCTCTTAGGTAGATAGTATATTTAGAGGCAAGAGTGAAGCTTTTTTCACTCTTCTCAACTCTTTTCTTACTTCTAGTCTAGTTTCAAGGGTCTTTAGGTTTCTTATCTTTTGACAATAGCCATTCTAATTTCTTTCATAATATACATAATTTGTTATTTTTATTTTGTTATATTTCTTTGAAAAAAGTTTCACTTGTTTATTTATTTTTATTAAGTTCTTGTCCTTGATACTAACACATGCAACATGTGGCTAACTTTTTAGCAAAGTTTTTAATCTATTAATCACCTATAGACATGTATAAAGATGAAATTGCATCTATAAAGCTACTGAGAAGCTTTTCTTAAAGATATTATCAAATTAACCTATTTTTATTTATTTATAATATTTAGGTAATTATTAGAGTAAATATGTATATCCATGATATTATCTTCCTTTCTAGGGATGACTTCTATAAAGAATAATGATCACAAATTGAGAAAGTCTAAGATGCGGCAAATTGTATTTGCTACATATTTTGATCTTTATTTCTTTTGAAGGTAGTTGATAGATCCTTCCTACCATTGATAATGTCTTATTGTAGGATGGAATGACCACCTTGTTATTTAATCATTATTGAGGCCTTCATAACTTCTTTTTTCAAAAAAAAAAATATTTGTAATACCATCAGAAGTTATTCTTATTTTTAATAAAATCACCAAACATCAAGAATCTCTTCCAAGGTTGTGATATCAAAAGCATTGTATCTTGCTATCTATTTGAATAAAAATATGTTATTCTTGAAGGTCTTCATTTCAATTATATCATCTTCAAGGCTGAGATAATTGCAATGTCTTGTTTGGTAACTTAGTAAATAATAGCTCTTTAGTTGAATCTATTAGCTGTTGCTTCTCTATTCCCTTAGTACCACAAATACACAAAAATTACAAATAAGGGTAGAAAATCAAATGAAATCTTTCTTAAATTATAATTCTTTTATAGCAAAGATTTGATATCCTTCATCTTGATTTTGATTGATATTATTAATAAAAATTATTAATCTTTTTTTATTATATTTACAAGATTTTTAGCTCGCTTTCATGTGCATTCATTTATATCATATCCACTCCAATGACTAAGATATTTTAACCTATTTTAGAGCCACCTTGAGTCTAAGACTTCTTTAATCTCATACTCTTGGTTATTATCCACTTCTATAGAAGGAGATAATATTTGTCAACTTACTAATATATCTTTTGTCTTATATGGTTCAAAAAGAAACATATGGAACATAGGTTGGATCTTTATAGATTCTTATAGGTATAATCACTAAGCAAGTGGATTAATCTATTCACATATAGGAAATGGTCCAAATCTATGATAATCTAATTTTTTACAAAAGCGAAATAGTCTTGATATTATGAAAAAGTAAATATACCTTATCGTTATCATGTAATTATTAGAATAAATATATATGTCAGTGATACAAAAGTGGTAAGAAAGTAGCAACAATATTTGGAGGAAGAATAAAGAATACAAACTAGATCTCAATTGAAGGCATTGTTCGATATTTTGTTATTGCATAGAAATCTACTAAATCTATTAAATCTACAAAAAAAAAAAGTTTTGAGAAAACATCTTAGATGATTTTAATGCATGTTTACAAAGAAGACATGGAATTAATAATCCAACAAAGAAATAGATTAAAGATTTTGGATTTTATTTTTAGATAAGATTTTTTAAAACTATGACAAAATGCTTGCATACTTTCTTTCAATGCTATTATTAAGAAACAATTGGAATACATTAATTAATAGAAACCAATTTATTATTGAAAAAAGAATGTAGGACATTCAACAATTAGAAGCAAATTTGGAGTAACATGTTCTATAATTGAATCTTGAATAAAGAAAGGTGTATGATGATATTTTGGCCTCTATAATAGAAGAACATAGACTCATATTTATCCTAAATAAGTATGTAAGAATTGATAAGACATTTATCTATAATATTTTGGTGACCGAAATTTGATTGATACAAAAAGATTATTATATATATTGCATCATCAAGAATTATTGCATTACTAATTGAGGAAGGAAGGATTATCCATTCTATATTTAAGATTCTATTATATCATAATAAAGACTTTTTTTATTCAATTGTTAAAAATCTCAACCATATTGAATTTATTTGTCAAATTTTGCTTATTATTTGGAATGAACTTCCAATCCAATATTATTATTGTCATAAGATAGTTGATTATTTGTTGAAAGACATTTGAGATATTGATTTTCCATTTGGATGAGCTATAGTAGTCTTTGATAGAGAATTTTACCAAATATTATTAGTGATTATGAAAAGAACTTAAGAGAAAATTCTAATAATATCTTTTTGATATTTATCACTTTGGCCTCAAATAAAAATCCATATATTCAAAGAAAACAAGAGGTTTAATTTAGAATCACTTCAAGCAGATAACAAGTTTGTTAATTAGTTTCTTCAAGCATAGAATGGATATACATATTGTATATAATAATGGTTGTGTATTTGAATTCTTTATAGTTGTATTATTATTGACTAATATTTCTATTTGCCACTTGTCAGATTAAAAATGGTACAAGCTTATTATTTAATAATATAAATATACTTCTTCATCATATAATTGTCAATTAATAATTAATGTTATTAGTTGATGTTGTTTATTCAAAATGGATAGAAGAAAGTATAGCAATGATCCTTTCTTAAGAAATAGAATCATTTTACTTATATCAAATGATGATGTGAAAGATATTAATAAAAATATTTTGGCCATATTCTATAAAAAAGAATAAGAATATCTAAGCACCAATAAAATTATTGTTAAAGATAGTATTGACAATAGTAATATTTATCCGGCCAAATTCATAAAGTTGCTTAATCCATCTAGAAAGTTTTAAGATTGAAACTCTAGTGATGCTACTAAAAAATATTGCTCCTTGTCTAGGACTTTACAATAGAACTTGATTGATAATTACATAAATAATGGATTGAATTCTAGAAGTAAGACTGCTTAGACTCTAATTTGCAAGAAACTTGGTGTTCATTCCACAGATTACATTATCTTCTACAACAAAAGAACTTTCATTTATTTTAAAGAAAAAATAATTTCTAATATGTCTTGTATTTGCAATAACAATAAATAAATTTCAAGGACTATCAGTGAAACACATTGATTTGGATCTACATTAACCTATTTTTTCCATAGTCAACTTTATGTAGTACTCTCTTAATACACTTTTTTCTATTCTATCAAGATTCTTCTTTTTAAAAATAATAATTTAAATTCTATGTTGAATTTTTTAACTTCCAAAATTTTTAATTAGATAGATATTAATAATATTTTTTATATTATTATATTTATTTTATTTATTCATATTTTCAAATTTTGACTTTAGTACATCCTTAAATGTCTTAATACAACTTTATGTTTTTTTAATATAATTCAATGTTTTATTATATTTTCACAAGTAGTTCTTTAAATAAAATTAATTAAAATTTTGCATATTATCCATGACAATGATACAAGTTTAGATATTCCATTTTGTAGCTAAAAGTTTTATTGTGTATTTTATTTCTTTTTTTTCCAAAATTATTTTAAAAAATATTTTTTGGCTTGTAAACATACCTTTCAAAAAATGTTTCATTTGAATCACACTTTTTGTAACAACGACACTATCTATCTATCTATATATCTATATTATTTTTGTATTCACTATTGTTGTGTTGTATAATAATAGGGACTTATAAGCCCCTACTTTTTTTAAAACATTAATTTTGTATTCACTGTTATTTTAAAAAGGTTTTGTATACAATTCATTGAAGGAAATTTCATGATAATAATAGGTATAAAATATAGTAACTTTTTCAATTCTTTAAATCATTTATTATATTCTTTTTGACATACCATTACTAGCATACACAAGGCAGGACATTCAGTTTATCACAATCAAGGTTATCTTTGATGAAATTGTAACAAATAAATATGCATTTCTGTTTACCTATTTATTTAAATACATGTCATGTTTGGTAAATTACTATATACAAATGATTTCCAACATATGTACACCTACAATCATACCCTTCTTCATTCATCCATCCATCCATTCATCCATCCATCCATCCATCCATCCATCCATCCATCCATCTATCAAAGTGCAAAATTGATCACAAATTTATGGATGTAAAAACATTAGTCCACCCCCAAATTTAGTTGGCCAGGCAGATGTTGAGGATGGCATTCAATGTTTTGGGTTTTGTTCAAACAAATCCCAAAATATTCAGCAATTTGGGTCGGAGTATAACTGGGCTCATCATCTGTTTTTTTGAAGCTCTCAATCAAAGGGGCCAGTGACTTCTCATATTCTGCTGTGCTAATATTGAAGCTTTGGCCGTGCATACTTTTCCGTTCATATGTGCAAATATTGAGATTTGTTTCATCAAGCTCTATTTGTGTTTGCATTTGCTCATGACTTTCACATTTTATATCTTCATTTGTTGATAAAACAGTGGATTGTAAATTCTTGGCTAGCTCTTTTTCATCCTACACATTGTCAATCAGTTTTGTCCACCATTTTATCCATCCATTGCAAATACATCTGATAATACTTTATTTTTACTTTTTTTCGTTTTAACTTATCCCATCTTTTCGTATTTTAAAGAAGTTTTTAGATTGGTGTTTTTTATTTCATTTTGTTTTATTTTATTTTATTTTTTATCAATGTTGTAAGTGAGTTTGGGAAAGTTAACTTGTAATGATTTTGACCATTGACGTCTTTCCAAAAGACTTCTGCTTTCTTCATCCCTCTGAATTCAGAATTTGAAGCAATTTAGTGTGAGGTGTTTTTAATGGTTTTTTTTTTTTTTTTTTTTTTTTTTTCCACAAATATTGTTCATATGGGTTCTATATTTTAGATTATTTGATGATCAATGTTAAATTAAAACAATTTAAATCAAAGCACAACACCTGCTTTGCTAGCTCATATTCAACTCTTCCTTCAAGTTGGTTGTAATGGAGTTCAATGGATGCTACAAGCCAATCAAGTCCAACTTGTAGCTCCTTGTCAATTAGACATCCACTCTAGAATGTGCACAAGCCAATCAACAAAATAAACCATACATCAATATTCCAAAATTTGAAAAATTCATAGCAATGTAAGTATTATTTAGAAGAAGAATATTAAATAATAATCATTAAACTAACCATCCTAAAATCATACATTTTGCATATTATATTTTGGAACTTAAAAGATTTAACATTTTGAAGCCTTGTTCATGTATACATATATTGGTGTAAATCAATTAATACTTCTCATTGTGATTTATTAGCAAACATTTTTTTTATTATTGAAATTAGATATTGTTATGATGATGATGATGATGATGATGATGATTATTATTATTATTTCCTTCAATGCATATGAATTAATGCTTGAATCATAAGAGGCATATTTGGTATACTTGCAACCGGCAATCACAATAGATGAATGCATGTTCACTAGCATTGAAAGGACCAAGGGCACCCTTGAGATCATCATATTTCAAAGCCTTGCTTTCATTCAATTTGTTGGCCACAATGAGAAGTGGTTTCCCAACTAGATACGGATGCTCCATAACCGCCTTTAATTCCACGGATGCCTCCCAAATTCGACTCTCATCTGCTCCATCCACAACAAATATTACACCAAAAGCCTGCATCATCAGAAATCAATGTGGAGATGAATGAATTATCACCGTCAAATGAATCAAAAATTGGTTCTTAATTAGATAAAACTTTGTAACAAATGACTATGAAGTTATTTCATGAATTAAAGGAAGCTTACTTCTGCATAATAGTGAGGCCAAATTCCACGAAAGCTTTTTCGTCCACCCAAATCATACACCATTGTGCGGAATTTGTGAGTTTTCCATACTTTTCCATCAAATCCCCATGTTGAAAAGTGATCCTTTCTTTCTTCTTTCCTGTATGTTTTCAATGTAATTGACAATATTACAAATCAAATGTAGCTTACAACTCAACATGAGTTTTCCAAGTGATTTATACTTTTAATATTTTCAAAGTGTCCAATTAACATTAGTAACATTGTTATGTAAATTAGAGCATCATAACAACACCTGTTTTTTTTAATAAAAAAAACGCATGAATGAGGGATTATTTAAATTAATTCCAGTGACTTGAAATTGAGGTGGATACCTAATTGTGGAAAGAAGAGTTGATTTTCCAGCATTGTTGAGTCCAAGTAATAATATGACGATATCATTATGGCACCAACAAGAGTGAAAGATTTCAAATAAACAATCAAAACAACATTGTGAACAACTTGTAGAATGAGCACATGTTCTATCATTTTGTTCTTGCATCAATGATGATTAATAAATATGGGGTACCTTGATGTTTTGTATCACAAAAACTTCATCATTTGTCACACATAAAGATACATTCATCTAGTATGAATTTGAATTCTAAAGTTCTATTTTAAATTAGATGAAGCTCATAATATCTAATAATATTCATTATAACAAAATTTTGTTTTTGAAAACATAGTTTGTGCTAATCATAAATAAGTTATGTAATTATTATGCTGTTTCTTAATCCTCAAAATGTACACAATCTATTTTTATTGTCCAAATACATTACAATATAATTGGAATATAACCAAAAACAAACTTAATTGATAACCGATTAACAATGGTTTTACTGAATGCGTTTGTGAGTATTGTAAAATATAAGTAAATAAATAAATACTGTTAAAGATACTTCAGTCATATGGATTGAAATGGATAGCTAAATGTTGCATCAACTTAAATAATTTTCAAACATGAGGCAATTCGGCATTATGGGTTCTTGAACTGATAACATTAAGAGTATTTTCTTGAGGCAAATCATATTGCAAGGAAAATTGAATTGAAATAAGTAATAGTATCCATTGATTTGTTATTTTTACTTTAAATCAAAAAATATATATATATATATATATATATATATATATATATTCTAACTATCCAAATGTGTTTAGAAATAAGCTATTACTGTCAATTAATACTTAAACTCAAGATTTCTCAGCAGAAGAATTACTTCACGTATGCTTCTTTTCTTCGTGCACTTAATCTATTTAAATTTTAAAACGATTTTTTTTTTAATTTTAGAACTAAAAAATGAATTAGCATGTTATTTTTAATTATTTATAAGAGTGAGACTTGCGGAAATTTATGGAAGAGTGGAACAATATTATATGACAGTCTGGGGCGTTGCTTCCAGAAATATGGTATAAAATGCAAGTCATTTAGAATTAAAAAAATAAAAAAAATAAACCAAGTTTTGACATATTTCTATTACAAATAAAATAAAATAAAATACCAGAGTATTTCTCAATCGTTATCAATACTCTTTTAACACTTTTTAGATGGTTAACCTTTTGTTTGTTTATGGAATTACAATGTTTACTTGCTTTATTTCTTTAATGTTTTGAAGTTCTTTCAATTCAAAATTGTTAACTGAGAATTCAAACGAAATTTTATAAATACTTGAAAAAAATCGTAAATAATTATTTATTTATAAATATATCTCTTATTATGTTTCAGGTATTACCACTGAAATTTTGCAATTATCATGCATTGCCAATCCTACACATGCTACTCATTTATAAAATCAGTTGCATTTTATTTTATTTTTTTTAATTATATTCATTAACATATAAAATACTATAAGGTTGTACTTTTTTCACACTGTCAAGTAGTTTAGATAAGGTTAAACATAAACTCAAATTACACCCTCTATATTTCCATAGTTTTTATGAAGTTGATGAATGCAATGATTCCAAAATTCTATACAATGGTTTCAACATTATATAAAGCTTTTGAACTTTAAAATTCAAATAATTTCATTATCAATGTTGGTAATTTTTAATTGATATAAAAAAATAATAATAATAATAAATAAAATTACATAATCATGTAATGAATGCATAAACATGTAGTTGAATAATTTTTATGAAGAGAATAAATTTGTTCTAAATACCACTTTATTTTATAATATTCTTTATTGATACTTTAAAATTTTAATTTATTGAAATTATTATTTTGATATCTAAGAATTAAAACTTTTCAACTTTTGCATTTTCTTGAATAAATTTTGCATGGTTGAAACTACATGAACATCAATATCTACTTATAAAGTAAAATGATGATAGTAAATATTTAAACATAATAATTGAACCAAAAGATTGTAGATGATAATACTCAAATACACAAATTTTCTTTTTTGTGGATTCTAACATATTTGAGACCTATTTTTTTGAAGAATGTCTTAAATCTTTTATAAAGATGATCCATCAACAACTCTATGATGGTGACGACTATTCCAAACTATTACAATAAAAGTTTCAGATTATATAAAATTTCCAACAATTTTTATTCTTATATTCTTTTCCTTCAAAATGCTAAATTCTTTATATATTACTCATCTACTAACTTTCCCTTACTATTGAGATGAATTGATATTAATTTATGATGTCAACATCAAATTCTACAACACCTCATTAGAATACACATTTTAAATAAGGGAAATAATAAATAGACCCATGCTTTTATTAAATAGATCCATCTTTTGATGAAGAATATGGTAATCATGATAAATATGGTTTGTTTTTATTGGTTGCAGATCCAATAGTGGAGAAATGAATCAAGAGGTTATTTGTTTATTTATTTTCATGTTGGTTAGAATGGGTCTTTTTTACTTACTCATTTCACTTCAATAAATATTTAACCTATATTCCTTAACAAAATTTCATTGTCTTTTTCAAGATATTCCATCACAAACTTCTCCAATAAAACACACAACTTGTTTTTTCCGATGAAGCACACTTCGTGTTTCAAAGGACCCATCTTTTGACTAGAAACTTTCACTTTGAACAAATGAGTTTGAATGGAAGACTTTAGAGCATCTCAGCAAGGCACCCAACAAATCCTAAACCCTGAATTAGCATCATTTTTTCCAAATTTAGGGCTTGGAGCTCACAGCGCGAGGGCGTGGCCCCGATGAACGAGCGGGAGGAGAAGAATCAACTCCCGAAGTGGTGAAAACGACAATCCCGACACGAGACGACGAGAGGAATTGAATGTGCAAACAACAATCTCAACATCTTAAAAAAAAACAACAACAACAATAATAATAATAAATGACGATAATATGCTTCTTCATCTGCTTGTCATGAATCCTGACAGACTGGTGAGAGAAGGTGGCTATGGCAGAGGGATGATGGAAAACCGCAAGCCAAGGAAGGAACTCACAAGAGTCTCACGGCGGGAGTTGCAGCTGGCAAGGCATGCATTGGGACTGGCGCCGCGCAATTGTCTTGGACCAAAGCAGAAAGTCAGAGATGGAATAGTATCGTGGCCACAAAGGATAGCTTCGGAAAAGCACGAGGAGGAGGGTAGGGCAAAGTGACGAGGATGGGGATGGGAATGGAGGGATCTATTTCTATCCCCACCACACCCCAACCAATCTCCGCAATCCGTTTCTTCCACACACCCAGTTTGTTCCTACACTCTTGTCGCATCTGTGTTTTTCTTATTTTCCTCTTACTTTAATCGTTGGGCGAGTAAAGTTTCTGGGTTTTTGTTTTTGTTTTGTTTCTAAAAGCCGGCTGCCAGTGAAGAGCCCCTGGTCTAAGAGAGCTTGTCTTATCGCTTCCTGACTTCTGCCCAGTCTTCGGGGAATTGCGGATTTATCGACATTTGCCACGAGTTTCCCCACGTACGCGTGGTTTCAGAATCGTTGTCGCCGCTGCTGCCGCTTTCTTCCCCACCTCGCCCGCTTCCTCGCTTCAGGTTTCGCATGACTGCGCTGCCTTGTGCTTTCTTGTTTAGTTTCTTATGACAGCTCTCTGTTGATTCTTTCTGAGTTCGATGCGCTTTGTGATTACATATGGTGCGTGGCAGCGCGTCTCTGGCTGTGAGGATTTTGATGGAATGAGAGCAGATTTTTTATTTTAATTTTTATTTTCTCGATCGTGATGAACCAGCGGTCATGAGTTTTGGTGCATAGTGCAGTGCGGGTGGTAAGTCGGATTAAGGGGGTTAGCACTGATCTACCTGTGAGGTGGCGGGTTGCAGGGCACGGTGCGAATGTCGTTAGACGGAGAGAAGATGTTGAGTAAGTCTCAGACCATTAAGCTTGTAAGCGCGGAGGGGTTTGAGTTTATCATCGATCGAAAGGCTGCTGTAGTATCTAATACTTTGAGGAACATGCTCTCATCAAGCGGTTTGTGCATCTGCTCCTCGCTCTCAACCTTGGTTTTTGTTTTTTGTTTTTTGTTTTTTTTGTTTTTTTTTGTTTTTTTTTTTGGTTTTTTTCAAGTTTTGGCCCTGTTTCCGTCCCATGTGTGATGAATTCTGAGTTTGGGTGTTTGTGCTTCTCCTTTCTATACTTTTCTTGTTCTTGCAATTTTTTTTGAACCGTACTTGGTATGGTTCTAAGTATCTTCGGAGTAACATCAATGTACTGCCATCGCATAGTTTAATCGCCACTTGGTTCATATCATCCCATTGTGTGCGTGTGAAGCCTTCCAGTTTGGAGAAGTTAGGGTGTCATCCCTTAATGATGCCACTACCAGAATTTTAGGACTTATCTCTTGTTTAGAACGAGGTTTTGCCATTTTGCTGTTGTAAATGAAGGGCTGTTAGATGGTTGTGACTGGGTTCAGGGGGCGAGTCGTCATCACTAGTATTTATACTTTTACAGAAAAGATTTTCAGTAAGTTTTGAGCAAATTAATTGGAGTTCTGACACAGGGAACTTCACGGAAACGGAGTTGGGAGAAGTGAAGTTTCCGGAAATCAGTACACCCATTTTGGAGAAGGTGTGCCAGTACTTTTACTGGTCCTTGCAATTTTCTAGGTGAGAAACCACCTGTCATTCCATGTGTTGCGACATTCTTAGTTTGGCGCTTTACCCTTGTTGTAGGACTTAGGGTGTTTCAGCCCAAAACCTGAATCGTGTGTGTGGATCGGACATGATGTTCCATGTCTGTTTTGGCATAGAATTGAGGTGATACCACTGAAGTAGACAAGTTACCAAGACAACCGTGTGGCTTTGTAGTCACGTTTGTCTCTGCCTGGCAGTGGAAAGGAGACGGAATTTCATATTGAGCCTGAGATAACACTGGATCTGATGATGGCGGCAAATTATCTTCACACCTGAGACCTGCTTCCGCTCTCCCACTCTACCCTTGACTTGTGAATACAGATGTGTCGGGGTTGGATTTAAGGACGAGTTCTGTAGCTAGCCATTGTAATGAATTGATTTTTTTTTTTTCTTTTTTTTTCTTTTTTGGCTAGGCTGCGAATCGAAAGCTTTTAGAGCTTGGTGACTTGGGCATGGTCCAGCGAACCAGTAGATTCACTGTATGCTTTTGATCGATTATTTCCCCCTCGTTCCGTTGCAGCGCCACGTCAAGGGATGTGACTGAATGGCTGCATTCTTGTTCTTGAATACCGAGAGGTCGTATTCAAGATTGGTTTGTAGGTGTAGTCTGGGTGCAAGCTGTGTCGTCACATCATTGCTCTCATTTTGTTCTTCAAACTTAATCACTACACAGTGCAGTATACATATCACGCAGTACTGTCATCGTCTGCAAGGTGAGCAAGGTAAGTGAGATAGGCCAATGTATTGTGCGTAAGCTTAGGAACTGAGCTTGTTCCGTAGGTTAGTGGAAGCTCTAGGTGTTAACCCTCAGCACTTGACATCACTTCCAGATAATGGTGTGAGCTAATTTTAGTAATACATGCAATGACATTTGTTTATGCTCTGCAGCTATACTAGTTTCCCCAGCTGTATTTGATGACGTAGACAAAACTGCTGTCATATCCAGGTTTGATGCACTGCAAACGTCGATGATAATGAATGCTGTTTCACAGAAGTCCATTTACACAAATGTCAGAGAGCAACATAGTTGCCTGGCTTCTAAGACGCAAAGAGCTAAGGATTTGTCCTCGATGTGGTCAACAACAGTGAATAATTCTCCCAACTCCTTAGTACTGATAGAACATGGATGAGAAAGGTCTATTTTAGATAAGGTCTGTGCATCATGTTGTGTTGGGGATCTGAAGACGTATCATTCAATTGGTTATCACTCATTTATGATCCTATATTTTCACACTCTCATTTCTTCAACAAATTGTTTGGTATTGTTGAAAGCTTTAAATGTAGTTGGTGCTTTCTATAATAATTATTATAGTTAATGGTAAATATTGTAACTATAGTATTTGAAATGTCATGAAGAAAAATTATTAATTTTCTTTTCTTTTTATTTACATGAGATAACTACATTAATATATATATTTTTTAATTTTTGTATATAAGTGTGTGTTTGTGTGTATACATATTATTCCTAGCTAATGTCTCTCCAAACTGTTCTTAACATGTTATTACCATGACTATTTTTGTATATTATTTTTAATTTTCAAAAACTTATGTCTATTTTGTCTTTTGTCTTTTTTTTTGTATTCTTTCTCTGCATTGCATGATTTTGTACATTATTGTTGTTATGTCTTGCCGCCAAAGTATTATGTATTGCTACTAGTTATTAAGCCTTGCCGTCTATTACAGTCTACCACAAATCCTTGTTTGTGTGAAACAAATGAAAATAAAAAATCTCTCCAAATTTTTAACATCTTTGATTTCAAATTCAACTTTATCATTTCATTTGGTTTTACATTTCAAGGTGAAGTTTCTTCGGTCTTTTCTACTTAATTTTATATTTTTTTTATGTACTTATTTATAATGAGTGCTTCAACATTTTCAACTGCTTGTATTATGTTTCCAACAATCACCAATGTATCCCAATATTTTTAATTTTTTCTATTTCTACCATTAGTTGTTTATGAAAATAATTACTTATTATAGATAAAAATAGCAAAAGTAAATTTAATCACAAAACAATTTTTGGATGTAATTTTGTTTAAAGTACTTCTATTTTTCTTTCTACGTATTTGAAAGCACTTCTTTTCCTTCATCATCATCTTGTACTTACATTACAATATAAATATTTGGAAACAAAAGATTCACCTAAGCTTTGAAAGAATCTTAAATCTACGTTTGATCATCAAAAGACCATTTTCCTTCTGTATACATGCTATAATTAGATATATTTACTTGTTTAAGATTTTCTAAATTAAAATGCTTTCAACAATAAAATATATCATATTTTCTCATAACTATGATTGTATGGACAAAGCATCTCTGAAGAAGATATGATTGAAAAAATTCTCTCTACATTTCTTTCCGCATCTATAGTGCTTGTATAACAATATAGGAATATGAAATTTGAGAGTCATCTTGATCTCATGTACTATCTACTTCTTGCGCAGAAATAAATGAGCTACTCTTACATAATGGTTCCAATATCTCATGCACTTAATATCTCAAAATCTAAAAAAGAAAAATTCAAATATGAAAAAAATACTCATAAGCACAAAAGTAATCATAGTTGTGATAATTTCTACCAAAATAGAAAGAATAAATATTCTATTACTAATTACAATAAAAAAATAATAATTAGAGATGTGTTCTTACTATAAATATCGAATAATTAGATATTTAGTGTATATATATATATATATATATATATATATATATATATTATATTTCAAAATACTTTGTTAAAATATTCCAAAAAAATAAGAAACTTTGAATTGAGGCTTATGAAGTTCATACTATAGATGTGTCCATGGATTCAATTGATATTGATGATTTAGAGGCTTGTATGAATGACAAAATTTCTGATAATAAGTCAAATAATGTATTCATTGATTTTGTAATAACACATATTATCTTACAAGATAGATGTTTTTTTATTGAAAATTTTTCAACTTAATAAAATAGATATTTGATAACTATAGATGGAACAAATGCATTTTGTTTTCAAGAGGGAATAGTGATGGTAAAATTGCCTGCAAACTCCATCCTAAAATAAAAATATGCAATGTTTGCACCTTCAACACATTAAAGTTTGATCAACCACCAAGATATGCATGCCAATGATTATCACTTTTTTATAGCCAATTTACATAGATGGAAGGTTTTGGTTTTTGCACAAAATTATAAAATTGTTAAAAAAACCTTTGTTGCAACAAATGATTTATATCGGATTATAATTTGATCTCCTATTATATTGAATTTTACATCATCTATTACAAAGAGTCGTGTTTCTTTCTAGCGTTGATGATAATTCAATAATGATCCATATTATTTTGAAAGATAATTCCATATATAATTGAGCATAATTTAAGAGTTGCATAAGTAAATTCTATAGCATTATGTCGTACATGTATACAAGGTAAGATGATTGCTTAACCTTTAATTTAAAAACTTCTATGAGAATTACCACCAATGCTTAAAAAGTTACATGGTGATATTTGTAGTCCTATTAATTCAATATGTGGACCATTTTGTTATTTTTTGATCCTTATTAATGTATCATGCAAAAAATTACATATTTCATTATTATCAATCCAAAACATGGTGTTTGCCAATCTTACATCAATACTTATTTATTTTTGGGCATAATTTTTGATTATTTTATTAAAAAATTGCATATAGATAATATAAAAGAATTTACATCAAAGTCTTTTAAAGACTATTATATTATAATAAGAAATGAGTTGACATATTGTGTTCCACATAAATACGCTCAAAATAGACTTATAGAATTATTTATAAAGCATATATAATTTATTACTCAGCTAATCTTTCTTCAAGCAAATTTACTTGCATCTATAGAGAGTCATGTATTTTGGCATTCTGTAGTATTATTACACCTCCGTCCTTCTCTTCTTGAAATTATTACACCACAAGATCTTATTTCAATTAGTATTCAAAATATTTTTTGCCCAGGGGTATTTAATTGTTCTGCTTGGATTTTAGTACCAAAACCTCAACAATGTATCATTGGAGTTCACTGACAAGAAGACATATATGTTGGTTTTGATTCACTAAGAATTATTCATATTATTGATCCATCAACTAGCACATTATTACATATATGTTTTTAAAATAATTATTTTAAAGAGAATGTATTTCCATCTCTTCAAGGAAGAATATCTAATCAATAAAGAAATATACTACTTATATTTAGAATATAAGAAATATTTAAAATAAATCTTGATTTTAAAACATCTTTAGTTGAAACTAAAATTGTCAAGATTTTGTATTTAAAATGGATTGCAAATGAAACACTTGATGGCTTTGATGATGTGCCTTGGATTACAAGAGTTTTCATTAATAAGGCTTAGAATACGTGTGCTCAGATTGTAATATCGCTAACTAATATATCTTAGATTATAATATCAAAAATTCAAAAAAATTTGTGGACTAAATAAGTAACCATATAAGAAGAAGGCTATAATATATGACAATTGTGGTATTTTTTTTGTGGAAGTTCCTACTAAACCTAAGGAACCATCAATTAATGATGATATGTTCATAAAAATTATATCTTCATTTAATGCAATAAAAAAACATAAAATTATGAAGAATAAAACTAAGTTGAATACAAATTTATTTGTTCTATATTATCTTACAAGTGACATTTAGGATAGACCATTGTCATGGACATACATTGGAAGATTCTTCAAATATTCTTTTAGAATATTCTTTAAAGATTCTCTAAAGATTCCTTTAGAAGGTTCTAGAAGATTCTTAGAATATTCCCTAAAGATTTTCTTAGAAGGTTCTAGAATATTCTGATAGATTCTAGGAAGTTGCTCGAGAAGTTTCATAATTAGTAGAAGTTGTTGGAGAAGCATCCTAGTTAGCGGAAGTAGCTCAAGAAGCTTCCTATTCAGTAGTATATATAGGAGTCGAGGCTGAAGGGTTCTTCAGTCTCGACAACACATCTCTTGGAGTTCTAGCTCACCTTTCTAGTGTTGTTCTTGTACTCATCTGTTTAATCTAGTTCTGCCACTTCTTCTTGAACTTCTTGTTAGATTTCAAGTCTGTATTTTGTGTCCATGACAGTTTGTCGAGACTACATTTTCACTGATATCAGAGCTAGTTCCTTCTTGTTAGAGAGTGGATTACCCCTCTTCTTGAAGGTGTGCTAGTGTTTTAGAAGTTGCGGATTACCCTCCTCTAAACTGATATCTCTTCTTTCTCAATATTGGAGCCTTATTCTTCTTGGAGAGAGTGGATTACCCCTCATCTTGGAGTCTTAAGGCGTTTTAGAGGTTGTGGAGTACTCTCCTCTGAACCAATATTGTCCTCTTATCAAAACTCTTTTTTCTTCTTTCTGAAGGTTAGCCGAAGGTTAAGACATTAAAATGGCTGAAAGTTTGGAATTCAAACTAGACGCCATCATAAATGCTCTTGCCTCGTTGTCACATAGGACAACAGAGATCGAAGGAGTCATGGTAGGACTCCATAATAATGGAGCATCTGGGATAGCGCCATCTAAAGCATATCAGCCTCAAACTTCTGCGCCAGAAGAAGCAGTTCTACCTCCATTTCAACAAGATCGAGTAGTCTTACAACGAAAGGAGCCTCGAGTTAGTCTTCCGGATAAGTTTGATGGAACTCATTCCAAGTTTCGAGGTTTTGTCAACCAAATCAGGTTGATAACAATTTTACAGCCCGAACGTTATCCGACGGAGGAAGCGTGTGTTGGGCTTGTTGGAACCTTGCTTACAGCACAAGCTCTGTCTTGGTTTACTCCCTTGTTTGAGAAGCGATCTCCAATCCTGAGCAACTTTGAAACGTTCTTGGAGGCGTTTGCAGAAGCATTTGGCGAGCATGATAAAGTTCGATGGGCTACAACAAAGATCCGATCGCTACGACAAGG